AGGTATATGTATAGAAACAATATAAAAAATCGTCAGGCATATTAGATTTGATTGATGTGGCCCCCTTCATGTCCAAGTCCATGAAAATAACCTGGGGGGCCACGTCAGTCATAATATATGACTAACATAAAAAAAAATGGTGGGGAAAGCTAAAAACAAAGAAAAAAATATTATAAACAATATAATCTATCATTTCAGTCACTTTTTAATAAAAATTAAGAGAAAAACACTCGTGGCCTCGTGGGATATTTTCCCAATATACACGTGGCATGCAATGTGTTAAAGCTTCCTGTAAAATACTTTGAGCCATCCCAGGAATTTGAAACTTTCAGGATTTATTACATACTTCAGTTCATGTGAAACTTACAACTAAAGTTGCGATTTTTTTTATTCACTGATAATACCCGCTTGTACCAAATAGTGTGACTCAGTTGTCTTTAAGACGTCTTTTTTCAGTCCTCAAACGTTCAGATGCAATGCAGACCTAAAAAAGACGCCTCTAGTACGTATAATATGAATCGCGCCTTATCATTATTATTATTATTATTATTTTCGGCATGTGTTCAGTTGTCGTTGTTGTGTTGTTGCATGTGCAGATGTCGCAATCGAGCAATCCGGCGATCGGAGCGGTACCGGTCCGGCGGCAGCGAGAGCGCTGAGACGCGGTAATCGAAGACTCACTCGAAACGAGAGTCGCTACCATTCGGGTAAGTGTAAATAGGGCTTTCGCTTCAATTTGAAAATACGGCCTCCGTTTCTTTTATTTGTACATTTTGTCAAAATTAATTACCTAGGTATCAAGCCCAATGAATTCTGGTTCCCCCCCAGAGATCTTGAGAAATTCACAAAACTTTTTCATTAGTTTTATAGTGCAGGACCCATAGACAAATGCAAGGAAATAATTTTTAACAAGCTACAAATTTTTTTACAGATAGTTCAAATCAATCTTACCAACATAATAAAAGTCCCAAAGTCTCCCACTCCGGGAACCCTGAAAAATCTTTACCGCCATCTTGGTTTTTTCAGTTATTTGTAAATAACTCGTTAACGGTGAATTTTTTTGGAAAATGTGTAGAATTCTTTTTTATGGAGAATTCAAAAACTCACATTTTGGTTTTTTAATCGTTTCAATAGGATAAATAACAAAAAAGTTATGGCAATAAAACGGAATGAAAATTTTAATTTTTCAGATTTTTCAATTAAAATCACTAATAATGCTTTTTCAACCCTTGCATTAGTTAAATTTGTTGTTCCGAGAAACAAATAGAAAAGTGTTCATAAACATTTGGGTCTTACAGTTCGTCCTGAATTGACGTATTATATCGTCAGTTTATCTAAAAATATTAGAATAGGTACCTATTAGCAATATGTGGTCATCTTTCTAATCTACATTCATTTTCATATTTGAATTGACATTTCGGTACATTCTTCCATATCCTCTATCTTTTAAACACCCTCTATCGCAAAGAGTTTTGCAATTGCAAAATATCTGCTTTAAGATGTCGTTGTGGGCTACATCACCTGTTGTTTTAACAGGGTACAATTTCCCTTTTTCGTTTTTCCATCCCCAATTGGTGGAATCGATATTTCGGCCTAACCATTCTTGCACCTTAAAGAAAGAAATATATCAGGCTATAATTTAAAATTAACTTTAAACTATTTTTTTACCTGAAAGTACACCCTCTAAATTTGCTCTCTAGCTGCTTTTTCGATAGGTGGTAGTACAGCTAAGTCAAAATTTGCACCAAGTTTTTGCCTGCTTGTTACTTTAGTATACAGAATATACTGGTAATCATTCAATTTCTGCACTTTCTTAGCTCCATACCATTTTAAAATGCATTCAAAGCCAATTTCAAATAGATCATGTTTAAGTGCATCTTGATCTTGGAATGAGTAAGCTTTATGACAGAGCAAATCATCTTTTGTAAATACAGACAATAACTACTTCTTTGACTTCTTGAAAAGAAAAGAGGTAGTGTCGCAGCCTGACATTGCATATAAAAATAAAATTGAAGATTTTATGTTATGACCTAACTGTTGCTGTAATGTACTTATTTGCGTTAATTTATCTGCCTTGGCCGCTTTTCCAGGTCTAATTAAATAAATGTTTGATGTTTTAGTATGGTGCAACAATAAAATAGCGACATCGGTATCTTCAGAAACAACTGTAATGGTATTATAAAATTCACTCTGAGTAACTGCTATTAGAAGTTAGAGCATCTCTTTGGGCTTGCTGAACTACCAATCCTGCCTTCAGTAAATATCCCTTTAAGATGCTAATGAAACTTTGTTTTTACTGTTTTTTAAAAAGTCTGCTTGGGAAATGGCAACAATTGAATCTGGAGTTACTCACACTTCTACACTTCCCTGAGATCTAAATGAATGTATAGCGTCTTTTGTAGATATAATGTCACTGTCATAACCATCAAAAACAATAAAACATTTCTGTGTATGACAATGCAGTGCAAAATTAACATATTGAAGACATATTTCATGGTAGGTTGCAGGTTTTTGCCAGACTACTCTATGTAGGAACAAGCCTCCATCAATTACAAAAACAGTTTTGGAAGAGAAAAAAAATCTTCACATCAGAATTGACTCAAATTTGGCATAAACATTATAGTCTAGGAAAATAGAAGAAAAATACATGTATTGCAAAAAAAAAATTCCTACCCAAATGAACTTTTCAGGGATAATAGGGGGCGGGCAGGTGATCATAAAACCGAAAATATCAAACATTCACCCCTCTGGCGTTTTGCGCTATAGGGGTTCAAAGTGCGCCATTGGCAATTACTTGGTACCTATTGATTTTACAAAAAAATGTTTCAAATAAAAAATGTGCAAAATTATTTTATCTACAATGTTTATCTAAAGACTTTTTTGATTAAGGGCCGTCTGTGGTCATAAGGGCCGTTTGAAATGTTATAATGAAAATGAAAAATTTTATTCAACGTGGAAAATTTTTCTACAACACATACAACATTTTTGCTTTATGAAGTTTTTACTCACCCCCTGCCGTTTTTCAATAGGGGTAGTTTAAAGTTTATTTATTTTTGCACAAAAAAAAATTCCTTATAAAAGTTTTATAAGATTACATTTCCTACAATTTTTCCCAATCAACTTTTTTTGTAACTCACCCCATTCAGCGGGGGGACACTTCCCTTAGGGAAATTTTCGTTTTTAGGGGTATATATTAACTTTTTTTTTCTTTTCTCGCCTTTAGTGCATATAAAAAGGTGCAATTAACATTGTACTAAAAGGATTTTTTTTTCCACCACCTTTTTGTTTTTAGGGGTAGTTCGCCTATTTTCAACTTTGCAAAAAAAAGTTATAGAAAAAAATTGCTCAAAATAATAAAATGAACAAGTTTTCTTAATAAATTTTTTGTGTAAAGTTGAAAATAGGCGAACTACCCCTAAAAACAAAAAGGTGGTGAAAAAAAATTCTTTTAATACAATGTTAATTGCAACTTTTTATATGCACTAAAGGCGAGAAAAGAAAAAAAAAATTAATATATACCCGTAAAAACTAAAATTTCCCCGAGGGAAGTGTCCCCCCGCTGAATGGGGGTGAGTTATAAAAAAAGTTGATCAGGTAGAATTGTAGGAAATGTCATCTTATAAAACTTTTATTAAGAAAATTTTTTTGTAAAAAAATAAAAAAACTTAAAACTACCCCTATTGAAAAACGGCAGGGGGTGAGTAAAAACTTCATAAAGCAAAAATGTTGTACGAGTTGTAGAAAATTTTTTCACGTTGGTTAAAATTTTTCGTTTTCATTATAAAATTTCAAACGGCCCTTATGACCACAGACGGCCCTTAATCAGAAAAGTCTTTAGATAAACATTGTAGATCAAATAATGTTGCACGTCTTTTATTTGAAACATTTTTTTGTAAAATCAATAGGTACCAAGTAATCGCCAATGGCGCACTTTTAACCCCTATAGCGCAAAACGCCAGAGGGATGAATGTTTGATATTTTCGGTTTTATGATCACCCACCCTCCCCCTATCATCCCTGAAAAGTTCTTTTGGGTAGGATTTTTTTTTTTTGAAAATCGACAATTTTCCTATACTATTATTTGTAGAACAGCTCAGAATTTTGTTTGCAAGGGTTAAATAGTAGATTATACCACGAGTCGATAATGATAGCTATTATTCCCGAGGATTATTACGAACTGAGCCGCGTTAGCGGCGAGGGAGTAACATTCCGAGGGAATAATAGCCATTATTGCGAGTAGTATACTCTACTTTATTTACGACAAATTAATTTATTTGAGATTTTCAATGAACAAATTTCATCCGTCTCATAATTTTCAATACAAATCCACAAGCACTACACGTTTGACACTGACACTTTTGTGGAATAATGACCATTAATCCCGCTACTCGTCATTAATCCCTGGAGGAATAACATATGTCATTATACTGCCAAAATCACAAATATAATACGCACATTATACATTAGTCGTAAATAAAAAGCATTATTAGTGATTTTAATTGAAAAATCTGAAAAATAAAAAAATTCGATTCAAGTTTTATTGCAATAACTTTTTTATTATTTACGCTATCGACACAATTAAAAAACTAAAATGTGTGTTTTTCAATTTCCTATAAAAAAGTATTCTACATTTTTTCCCAAAAAATTCACTGTTAACGAGTTATTTACAAATAACTGAAAAAACCAAGATGGCGGCCAATAATTTTCAGGGTTCCCGGAATGGGAGACTTTGGGACTTTTAGTATGTTAATAAGGATGGTTTCAACTACCTGTTCTCGAGGAAAAATTTGTTTATTGGTCCTGGGCTATTAAGTCAACGAACCTACTTAGAAACATAAATGAATCAATTAGAAATGCTAATTTCGGAGGCCGAGTTTTCGCTGAAAATTATCACTGCATGCGGCCAAATATTGGTTGGCCAATATCGAACCCCTAGAGGGTAATTATGTCGTCACACGTACTGATTAGTATTCGAAGCATTAATTGGTTGTTTACGTGTAGAAGTTCGACAAGAGGCCGTCCAACAAGCATTGGCGCAAGCATTGCAAAACAGGCACAAACCTTCGATGCCGATGCCGTCGAAACGGACGTCGGTTATGGCCAGGAGTCCAGACAGGGAACGACACGATTCAGGTAAGAGTTTTACTAACTAATAATAACTTATGGAAGAGGTTTCTTGATATTTTAACAAACGTTTTAGCGAAATAATTTCTCACTTACAATAAGATTCTTTGAAAATTTCCGATTCTTTTTTCGATGATACAATTATTGAAAATATGATGTTTCAAAGTTCTAGAGTTAAAGTAATTTTTGAGCTTCTCAGAGGCTTGAAAATCCCATATGACTCCTTGCCTATAAGGTCGGATTTTGAAAACTGATTTCCAGCTCTGTTGAAGCTATACTTATTATATTCTCTATAGAGATTTGGTTTTCTTGGACTTCTATCCTAAATTTTGAACATTTCTTCATAGTTTTCCAGAGAGGATTCACAGAAATGAAATTAATTTTCCTCAAGTCCAAATATATTATCATTTGGACTTTTTCTTGGGTTAGTGGTAAAATCCTAATAGAAGGTAAATTGATAATCCTAATTATCCAGAAAATGTTCAGTTATAATTCTTGTACTGATCTAGATACATTTCCTGATCAGATTTTCTTCCTATATTAACGACTTTGAATCTTAATATTTGTCCCAGCTTTCGGTAAATATTTCTTCAGAATAGAATCTACCTACACCCATCAAGGATTGATAGATATATAGAACTTTTAACATTGTAACTTTGAGGCTCCAGTTTATTCATCTTCCGATAAACTTACTATGGTTACTGTTTACAAGGTAAATTCACCAAACTATCTATCTAACCAATAGGATTGATTATAGATTGCATTATCTGACAGTTAATTAGAAGGCAAATAAACCAGGCCTTAACATTTCAAAACCAATTGGAAGTCGATAAGCGATCAATACATACTTAATATGAAAAGGAAACGAATTTTTTCTTTCAATAAAGTAAATGATAAACAATAAATCAACCAACATAAAGCAGCTTTGAAAAAAAAAACTCAATGCACGTTCACACAAGAAATGCCTATTTTTATACATCCTGTGTGGAAAGACCTTTATTTGCATTTTAAGTAAATAAAATTAAATATCACGTTGTCGCCTCCCTTAGGAGGGGTACAATGTAAATTAAATGTTTTTCATTGTTTTGCCTCATAATGCATCTACAACATTAATTATTGTTATTACCGTAATTTTTATTATAAGGTCATTTTTGTTCAAAACCAGTGGCGCATCTCTTAGGTAGATAATAATAATTTTCTCAGCGACCTTTGCCATCTGCTTCTTATCTAAAATGCATTACAAATATTTGAGAGAATGATAATAGAATGTGTGTTTTTTTTTTAAACATTATGGCTTGATTTTGATGAGCTTATGTGTGAATAATTGCACGTTTCCACAGAAATTCTTTATTATCTTCTTATTAATAACTAAATAATTATTATTATTGATGGAAGTGAGCAAAAATCCCGTTCTCGAGCAAGACAAGAGCGTTATTGCTACACAATCGGTACTACGGGTTAGTACCCAGTAACCAGTCTTAAGAATACCGTGGCGCGTTCGAGCAACGGAGTTCTAGTGAAGCGGATTTATTGTGATTGTGGGTTCCTTTATTGTTTGGATATTGCACTTGAATGACAATCAAAAGGTTTACTTATTTGTTTATTGTTTTATATATTTTTTTCAATTATTATTAAAATCAAATTGAGAAAAAAAAAAAACATTCTGGGAACATTGTCGTATCAGATATCTGAAATTGAATCTTAATTAAACAATGTCTCATTTTACCTTAGAATTTGCTTATTAAAAGGTATACACATAGCTCGAATTTATTTTTGCTTATGGCGTGAAATTTCCCATTTGCACAATGATTTTTTTTCAAGAATCACTTGACTTGGTTTCTCGTTAAATGATTTTGATGCCAATACAAAGATATAAAGTTGTGCAATTCATATCCAAAGAATTCTTAATTTTTTTGCATTTCTGATGTTTTCTTAACTAGAAAAATTCGCCGTGACTTTTCAAAATAACTCGGTGATTGACAGTAGTTTCGTCACAAAAAAATTAAACTCTGAACAACGTAATAGCCACAATCGATCACTTTTTCATGTGTCTTTTTACCATGCAAACTTATGGCAAAAACATATTTTTTCTTACAAAATCCAGATTTCTTTTGCAATTAGAAACCAGAGAAGTTATGGGCACCAAATTGTAGATTCTGATTGGGGCTACAAAAAAAAATATTTCAGGCAACACTTTTGAGATAATCAGCTTTGAAACTTTTGCAAAATTTCAGCGGAAGTTTCAACTTTGAGCTTCAATATTTCAGAAACTATTTGAGATATGAAATTAAATCTTGTTTTATAGTGAAGAGCATTTAACTCTTATTGAAAAAATATCATTCTGTATCGGATTTTGTACAATATTACCAAAGTTATGGGCGATTTTTTGAGGCATTGTCAAAAAATCAAAATCTTCTTGAGACCAAAAATGCACTATCAATTTTCAATTTTTACAAGCCCTAAAACTTCGAAAAAACAAATTGCAAAAACGCTTTTCCACTAATTTTGACCTCTCCTCTTTCGATTGGTAAAATCAAAAAATTGAAAAACCAAAAAATTGAAAAACCAAAAATTTGAAAATTAGAATTTTCCACCATGTCAGAACTGGGGTACGCTTTTATTGCTGCGTAATACTATATATCCTTCTAAATCCCCTGCTATAGTATGCTCGGCTAGCCATACCGTCTGTAGCCACCAGAATCAATTAATATCAAGTTGGAAGTGAACTGGCAAAGAAGCTGCTGCCTTGTAGCTGGATGTTGAATCATCAAAGGCTAGAGGAAGACAACCTTGATCACAAATTACCTGGTCCTCCTGATAGAGGGTTGAAGCATCAGGCTAACTCCCCGTTACTCGGAAAAAATTGAGACTGTTATCTAAAAGACCCAATCAACAGCTTCGGAACAGGACCAAAAATTGGAGACGAACTAGGCAACGAAAACGCACAATGAGTACATGGAACGTCCAAGGAATCTCTAGAAAAATGAATAAAGTGATATTACAGATAAAATATCAAAAAATGGATCTGCTTGTCGCCACAGAGATCAAAAAAAAAAGGACAGGGTTTCAGAAAATCTGTGAGGGTGATTATTTCTCTAGCGGGAATCAAAAATAACTCAGAGCGAAGAAAGGAGTCTCGATCTTCATACACAAAAAATGAAGAAAACATATAACATCACGGAAAGCAGTAATCTCTTGTACGTATCCCCATTCAGCATAAGACTGTTGGCGTTAAACCAACTTTCGGCCCCCAATCGTGCCTCACGCGACCTCCACTCTAAGGCACGTAGATCATTATCTTGAATAGTGAAAGTAGTGTGTTGTGTGTGAAAAGAACGGAGCTCTGTGGTACACCTACCCTTAAGAAACCCTCAGAAGACGACACTCCCCTTACCCTTACCATTTGCGTGCGTTCACTAGGATATGATTCCAGTACCTAGCTGTATGGCGCCCTCTGAAAAATTGTAGAACTTCAATTTCTTCAGTAAGACATATCACACGAGATACAATCAAAATCCTTGCTCAGGTCATAGAAATATGCTAAGAAGTGTTCACGTTTCTCAAAAGCATCCATTATGTTCGAGAGAAAATTGAGGACTGCAAGAACTGTGCCTTTTCCCTCTCTGAACCCAATCTGGCTGTCAGTAAAAAAGGTGTTGCTCTCAAAGAAGTTAGTAATCCTGCATGCTATCATGCACCTTTCATCAATTACCTTCGACAAAATTGGCAACAAAGAGATGGGACGATAGTTAGAAATGTCATTCCTGTCCCCTTTTTTAAAAATCGGAGTAATTACAACCCTCTTGAGTGACTTAAGAAATGTATTCTCTCTAAGTCTAAAGCATAGGTTTATCATCTTTGTCAATGGTACCTACCAAGATTATGTTCTTGATAAGCTGTACATTGAGACCATATATATCCCCACTTTTTTCAAGCTGTCTATAACATCCCTCACAAAATTATAGCTAACTTACCCAAATAAAAATTCCTCAAGGGGATTTCGATGTGTTTTTGGAATTTTATGTATTATATTATCTGGGATGTTCAAGAAAAAAGAATTGAAATTTTCAGGGTTTATGCTAGATAGCAACTCAAGATTTATTGAAATTTCCTCTATCACTGTTAATGATGTTCCACATTGTCCTAATAGGACTTTTTGGAGTTGCTATTGTTATTGTTAGCTTGTTTAATGGCCCTATTATAAACCCTTTTGAAACCTCTATATTCCTCTCTGTTTCCCGGGTTGTACTCTTCCCCAGAAAATGTAAGTGATCCCTCATTTTACGTAGAGCATCACTAAACGAACATAGTAGCATTTTTCAGGGAATGACTGCAGATATGCATCTTGGATTTTATTAATGAAAAACTCAAATTTCTCATCAGCAGAGATGTTTTCTGAGATGAAATCCCAAGAGTGGGATTCCACAATATCATAGAATTGTTGAATACCTTGTTGTGTGATTGGACTTAAAGTTTGTTTACTCATTGATTTTTGCTCAATTTTTAGACTCAAATAAAGGATAAGTACTTGCCCAATGAGGTCAAAACTCAAAAAGATGTAGATCTACTGTTTCTCCCACAGCAGTATCCTTAAAAAAGTTTAGAAAGATGTTGTCTAGGCAGGTGTCCCTCGCGTACCCCCAGAGACCATGGGTTGAAAGCCATGTACCTAGTGCATCACAAAGTAAAGGCCCATCATCAATCAATCTGGTAGCAAAGTGGTACTTCGGCACGCATGCTAGGATAATGGTATTTAACGTTGGTATCCTCAATTCAATTCCGTGCTAGCATGCACGCCAACTCCGAAGTATGCAAGCTTGCAAGCTGCAAGCTTTTCGATGCGTGCCGACTTGTGTCATGCGCAGTACGGTGAAAAATAATTTAGGTTATGTGACTGTACTACGCGTACAGCATACTGAAAGTTGATAGCATTGAGTATGGGTATCAATTGCCCAGCACGCGTGTCGAAGTGCCACTTCGCTACCAGATTGATTGAGGATGTGAAGTCT